CGGTACTCATTTTTCCACAGCACTAATGTAACGAATATAGCGATTTCAGTTAATATATGCAAATATCTCAGATATTAATCATAATTTAGTAATCAAACTAAGTGAGCCAACAACCTTGTTGTAAAAGTTATTAAGATACCAAATATAATTGTAATGCAAATACAAATTCGAAAATAATATATGTACATAAGTGTATAAAAATCATTTACAATATTTTTTAATGTAAAATTTTTCCAGCACCTGAAAATATTTCTTTCCTTAATCCTTGCAAATTGGCAGAGTATAAAGATTTTGGTTACACCCGAACTTCGCCCTACTTTACTTGTTGCCACATAAATACGAGTCACTAACGTAGGTAGAGAGATTCACTATGTTACTTCATGCGCTTCATTTATGGAGATGTTTCTTCAATACCCAGTGAGAACAAAAAAATTTTTAACCACCTAAGCAGGTTTGCGATTGGTTCAAGGCACTTTAAATTTACACCCATATAACGCATATATAATTATGCAAGTACAGCTGCCGTTCGACAACAGAATACCAAATAGTACTCTACGAGAACCATGTACCCATATTATAGTAGGTAGAATTGTCAAAAACAGAAAATAAAGAAAACATGTCTGCCTTATTTTATTTCTACCTTGAACAGGGTATATTAAGTTTACCCCGAAATTTGTAACACTCAGAAGGAAACGTCGTATATATAATATATATCCAGTATCCCCCGCTTAATTTGAATCACTTGAACGGTCAAAAATATATTGCATACAAAATACGTGTAAATTTTCCAGCTTAATTGAACCCGGTTAATTGGTTTTCCCGTATAGTTGGTTAAAAATATGGGTTATGTGTATGGTACTGATGTTGAGGAGCAAAAGAAAGAAGATGATCCTCCAAAGCCTCCGTCAGTTTTCGAAGTTTTAAAATACATACAAGGAAACTAACTTCAAACATATTTTTATTCAGAGAACAAGTTTTTGTGTGAATTAGGGAATATGGAACAGCACGATATTTCACGTAGATTAAATAATATAAAAAAAAATTACAGACTTCTCAAATTAACATGTCAAAAACGTAAACAACGATCTCTAAATATCATATAATATGTGAACGCAAATTCTGCATATATTCAATAACATGAATTTTATGTTCCTTAAGTTTATTTTTTTTATAACGCTTTTATTAGCTTCCACAAAACTAAACACTAAACTAAGATACCGAACTGTAGTTTGGTACAGGGGATCACGGTAAAAAGAGACACCTATTGGCAACATTTTTTTAAAAGGGGCGTAGCCTCGCCTATTAAACGACTTAATGTGCATATCTTTCAAACCGCTGAAGCTAACTGAACCAAATTTGCTTCGATGAAGTCTTTTTAGCACTTTTTATACGCTGTAAAAATTCTGTAAAATCAGCTAATAACCACGCCCACTCCCCATATAACGGCTATGTTAAAAACTACTAAAAGTGCGATAACTCACTAAATAAATGCGCCATAAGCATTAAATTTAGCAAACCAAATGTTAGGGAAGAGCTTTATAGGAGGAGGCATAAAAATTGAAAAATGGGTGTGGCACCAATTAACCTTTAGGTGAAATCCTATAGCTCGGGAACTATCTAACTAGTTTCAACCAAATTTGATACGTGTGGTTACCCAGCCATTCCTATCACACACTGTGAAAATAAGCGAACTCGTACAACGACTATAAAATTATGCAGATAAAAGCATGAACTATTCATCCTGCAAAAAAATGCAGCAAAAGCTATCCATGCTGTCATTTGAATAACAGATTTACTCCAACGTATCCTTAAAAAAGTGAAAAAACTACGTTTACTTAAATAATAAGCATGGTTTAAAATACTAAAAAACATTCTTTTAAAGCACCTTAAACCAAAAAGTGAAAAATAAATAATGTTTTATATAACAATGATACCGAAATATATAAGTACATTGTTCTTTTTTAGCCGTTTAAAGTTTTAAATGTTATTAAAAAATTATTTCTAAGAACTCAATATATATTTAAAGTATACATATGCATTGTTTTTAATTGATTAGGTTAAACATCTAAAGTGTTATAACTAAGCCGCAAATTAAGATGAAAAACTGTAATATGGTACAAGAAATCGCAGTAGTAGGGGGCACCTGGGGGCTAAACATTTTTTAAAATTGGGCTTGGCTCCGCCCCCTAAATGGTTTAATGTACGTATCTTCCGAACCACTTAAGAAATATCAATCAAGCTTGCCGAGAAGCTTATTTTATTACCTCTTCAAACTCTGGGAAAATGGGTAAAATCGGATATTAACCACACCCCTTCCATATAACGGTTATGTTGAATACTACTTAAAGTACAATAACTCACTGAATAAATAAGCCATAAGCACTAAATTGGCTTTACAGGATCTGGTGTTTGCTGTTTTTATCAAAACATTCATATTAGATA